ATTAGATTTAAAATTAACAAAAACCATGCATGGTGTTCAAAGTCTTATATTTTATAGGTCTGATATCAGTTTACCAAAAAAAGGTTTATCAAAATATAAATTACGAATGAAATCTCTTCATGATGTTTTTAACCATATAAAAACTTTTTTTAAAGAACTACCCTACCATTTCGACAGGAAAGCAAAAACAGAAAGTGAATCAATTATTAAACTTTTATTTAAAGTAAAAGATATAAAAAGAGCTGTTGACTACAGATCATGCATAATAAAATTAAGAATATATTGTCAGCAGAAATTTCCAAAAATTTCCATTGACAGATATTTTTATTACAATGTGCCAAATTCAAGAAATATTATACAAACCAGAATCTGAGCGCACCAACAAACTTATATTAAAAATGTTTTTAGTGATATTTAAGCATGTAATGTTGGCTATATCGAACCATGGAGAAAATTTGAACATTTAAACAGTTCGAAAATTTTATGGTAAATATTTCCAGTGCCTGCACATATTCCTGACCAATTAAGGATTATTTCTGGTAGAGCTGCAAACACTGAAAAGGAAGAGCATATGTACGGATTTTTAAATTATTTTTTCAAACTTTTTAATTTTTTATTATTTTCAAACTTCTTAGTTTTGTCAAACTTAGAAATTATTTTTTAAACTTTTTGATTTTTTCAAACTTTTTAATTTGTTTTTTTTTTAAACTTTTTTTAATTTCACTCTCTTATATATTATTGGAAATTGTAAATTTTTTTTTTTTTTATTTTCAAAAAAAAAAAAAAGCACATGAAAAAGAAATAATATCAAAATCCCAAAACAACCCAAAAATCGTTTACAAATATATCAACAAATAACTAAAAATTAAAGATAGAATTCGCTCTCTCAAAGATACTTCAGGCAGAATTATTGAAGCTCTTCCTGATATAGTTGATCTTCTGAACTCTCAATTTAAATCTATGTTTACACTTGAAAGCTCTGAAAATTTTCCTTTGCTAAATAAAAGTGGTATTCTTTCTGAATGCATTTATAATGAAAACTTGGATTTCTCTATCTCAGATATTATTCAGGAACTTGCCGATCTAAAGCCTTATAAATCCTTCGGATCTGACGGCTTGCATCCCTTAATACTCAAGATATGTGCCAAAAGCTTTGCAATTCCATGAACAAAAATCTTTCATAAATCCTTTAATTCTGGAGTAGTACCCACTCAATGGAAATTAGCAAATATTAGTCCGATCTATAAAAAAAAGGGAGATAAATTACTTGCTGAAAACTATAGACCTATTTCACTAACATCTGTTGCCTGTAAAATCTTTGAAAAACTTGTAAAGAAAAAAATTTTAAAGCACATTAACGATAATAAAATGCTCTCTGCAAATCAACATGGCTTCCTTTATCATAAATCATGCGTAACTAACCTTATAGAAACTTTTGATATCATTTTGTCCTCCATAGCATCTCACCAATTTATTGATGTAATCTATCTTGACTTTGCCAAAGCGTTTGACTCTGTACCTCACAACAGACTTTTGTTAAAATTAAGATCTTTCGGAATAAACGGCAAACTCCTACAATGGATTAAATCTTTTTTAGTGGGCAGAAAGCAACGCGTTACAATTAACAATACCAGCTCTGCATGGGTTGATGTTCTCAGTGGTGTTCCTCAAGGTTCTGTTCTCGGCCCGCTCCTCTTCATTCTCTACACAAACGATCTCGCAAAACTCACTGAAATTTCTGAAATATTTGCCGATGATACTAAACTTTTTTCTAAAACCTTATCGCAATCTAATTTTGTTGATCTGCAGGATCGTTTACGCTTGGTATACGAGTGGTCAAACACTTGGTTACTTAAGCTAAACACTTCAAAATGCTGCGTCATTCATTACGGTCGAAACAACCCCCATTACAATTACTTTCTTCAAAATAACCAAGGAATCAACCAATCTCTAAGAAGCTCTACTAAAGAACGTGATTTAGGAGTCATTTTTACATCTAACCTCAAGTGGAGCGCTCATATTCAAACAGTTGTCTCTAAGTCCTTACAAATTCTCGGTATGCTGAAAAAGACATTCACTTTCATTGATGAAAAAATGGCTCTCAAATTATATAAAGTATTTATAAGACCACATCTTGAATATGGAGTATCCATTTGGGATCCTTTTTTAAAAGCTGATATGGCTTTGGTTGAATCTGTTCAACGCAAAGCTACAAAATGGGTTTACAGCTTGAGGCATCTTCAATACTGCGAAAGACTAAAAAGATTAAACCTACCATCTCTTGAGTTTCGACGCCTTCGATGCGATTTAATCCAAATTTTTAAATTAATACATCGTTTTGATATAGTTAATGATAAATATCTACCAAAATATATTAACTCCGTGTCTCGTGGTCACCATTCTAAAATAAGGCGTGAGTATGTTCTAAACTGTCTTCCAAGATATAATCATTTGTATAATAGATCAGCAAAATACTGGAACAATCTACCAGAGCAAATAACTTTGTACTCCACTGTACTATCTTTCAAAAATAGACTAGACTCCTGGTTGTGGAAAAAGTTTGGAACAAATATTTATAAAACTGGTTGTTTATAGTGGGGTGTTTCCCCTGCTCGCTGTATGTGTACATTCTATGTAAATTTACGGCTACAACTATAATAATAATAATAATATTCAAGAAGGGGCTTGATGATAAAACATTTTGTCTTCTACTTGCCCCATCAGCTTGCATTTGTATAAATTTATTTCAATGAAAGGTTAACATTGTAAAATGTGTCAAATGACGAAAAATAAAAAAAAAAATTAAAAAAAATAAATAAAAGAAGAGCGACTTTTTAACTTTATCAAAACCACAACAAGTACCACATCAAACCGTCAACCGTGCCATGTTATTTCTAATGCGTTAGAATCCGATGCAAAATAAATTTAATGCAAGTATCCGATGACTTAAATAACTTTAATGAAGTTCCTTTAATAGAATTGTCCATTTCAAAATTTTATATGTTTGTTCAACTAAAGTCCAAATACAACTATAAAATGTGAAATAATAAGAAATTACCTAAATGAATATCAGACAATGCTACAAAAAACAGCTGACTTTCTTGTTAAACCAAAAATTTATTGGTGTAAAAAAGATATCGGTGTGACATTTTATGATTTTGAAAATGTTAAAATAAGTAAAAAAGTTCCACACCATTTTAGAACAAAAACACTAATAGAAGAACTTGATTATGTTAAAAATTGCTGGAAAAAAATTTCTTTACCAAATGCCAATACATTATTACCTGCATATAAAACAAAAGTTGTAGATGAAGTTAACAACAAGACGAAGTTATTATTTTTGAAAACATTGAAAAAACCTTTTCGCTTAAAATAATACTTTTCCTTATGCTTTTCAGTTGAAGAGATAAAAGGCATTTTATTTTGGCGTAAGTTTTCTTCATTTTTTCCCCGCATCATAAGTATTTTTCTTTAAACTTTTTTACTCCACTAATTAACTTTATCTCATACTTTCATTCTCTTAGTTTAGGCTTCTATCATAACTATTCTTACTTTTCTTCTTTTACTGTTATATATTCCTAAACGTGCTTTTAAGTAATTTAGGTAATTAGTATTTTGTTTCTCAATACTCACTTCGTACATATATATTTATAAACCTCAATATATATTATTTTTTCTAAGTTGATTTAGGTGCCCCAAGAAGTCGTAACGGTCTTATCACAGAGCACTGCGGAAGAGCATTTAAAAAGAAGTTCACGCCTCCTTCCCAACCGTTGTCGCAAAACTTGCCCAGAGGATTTAACCACGGATCTTACGTTTCTGAGGCAAGTGCGCTACCACTGCGCCACGGCTGCTTTGTTTATTATTACATACTATTGTTGTAAACATCTAATCGATTGTTTTATTTAGTATTATTATTTTAGAGGGGTTTTAACAAGTTTCTTAATTCTTAATAACTTTAATTTGTTTTATTTTTCGAGTGGTATTTTTTTTCTTTTATATTTTTTTTCTTAACTTGATTTTTAAAGTTGCGTTTTTATCGTTTTTTTTTTAAATCTTTTTGTTTATTTTCATTTTAGATAAATAAGCTATTGTTCGTATACAGAAATTACTTGTATTTATTATACTTTATTAAAAACAAAAAAATTGTTCATGAAAATTTATATAAAATATATGAAATTTATATTCATAATAAATACATTAATATACATATATATACATAATACATTTAGTTTCCAATATACATAATACATTTAGTTTAAATACATAAATACAATATACATAATACATTTAGTTTAAATAAATGTTTATATATACGAACAAATTATTGTTATATATAAATATATCATAGTATTATTCATAAACAAACTAACGACAAAATGAAAACTTTGAACGTTGAGGCTGCGGCCCAAGCTGCGCTTGATATTGTTTTTTCAAATGCCACCTTTAACAACACCTGCAAGCAATCTGTTCCTAGCATGCTAAAAGCCACAATTCACATTGCACTAAACACTTTAATAACAGCAAAAAATAGTGATTTTCAGTAAAAAAAAAAAAACTAATAAAAACAAGGTCCTTAAAAGGTCTTCCACAAATAATTGGAGAAGAACGTGAAAGCCGCCGGTTGTGTCGGCCCCCTTGTGAATTTGTCAAAAAAAATTAATTTGGATTTTTTTTTGTATTTAAGACTTGACCGAGTCGTCGCCATTTGATCACTAAAAGACACACAGAGAACTGTTTGTTAGTGCTCGACTCGAATTAAATGCAAATTTTGTGTAAATGTGTGACACAATTTCATGTAAATATATTTTTACTTAAAATTATATTAAAAAAGATAATAGGCTTGATAGGCTTTTTTCGTTTTAAATTAATTTTAAAAAATTGCTTGCGCTCGCGTAATAAGACCTTGTGCCAACAAAAAAAATTCTTAATAAACACTCTGTTTATTCTGCAGACCAGATATTTTACAGAAAATCTCCTAAGTTTAAACTAATAACTGACGGACCACAATATCTTTAAAATAACCGTTAAAATAAGTCGATGGACGATCCTTATCGGACATAAATCGCAGCAAAATTATAACACGAGAAGTAACATAAGAAGTCTACTAATAAAAAGGTGTTTGGTATTGTTTAAGGTCTAATAACCGTTGTTATTTTATTGTGAACATTGTGATTTGTTGTGAAAGTAAAGTATTATAGATTTTGTCTTTTTTATTTTGTATTAAAAGAAAGTTCTATTAACAAGTAGGTTTGTTTTTTAATTATAAAACGTTGCGTAAATAGTTGTAAGTTTTAATTAAAGAATTTTATTATTTAAATTTAATAACTTAATAATAATATTTTAACGATAAATGATAAAAAATTGTTTTAGTAGCATTAGTGTATTACTCTGTTCTTTCGTACTTTATTTAAACATATTAATAATATGTTTAAATATAGTATGAAAGAATAGAGTAATATTATTACTGAAACAATTATACTGAAACAATATAATCAAATTCTTATATAATTACATATGGTAAAGGAAGTAATGACTACTTTTACATATACTTTTTTTTATTTAAATAAATAATGTTCTGAAATTCAAGATTATTTTTTTCTTAGTAACAGAATTATACTGGGCTTAACACTTATTTCTGGGTTTAACACTGGTTTTTTTAAAAAAGGTTCATATAGCACCAATACTGATATGAAGTTAAAAAAGAAATCATGAAAACAGTTAACAAGGGGGAAATTAAAAACAAGTATATTAAAAATTTATATTTTTACCAAGGCTTACTGCAAATGTTACATTTTTAAATAACTAAAATATGTTTTACCTTTGGTAATTAAAATTATAATTTATAATTTAACTATGGTCATTAAATTGGATTTGATGTTGTATATAATGTAAAATATGGCATAACACCGTCACTGATCACTACTCTCATTACTTAAAACCATAACAAGTACATTTATTTAGTTATATAAGTAGAAATAAGTTACATAAAAAAAGTTAAAAATAATTCTCATTATCTGAAATAAATTGCATGTTTTAAAAGTTTACATTTTTCAAGATAAAAAAACAACAGCAAGCATTTTAGTTTCAAGAATGGCATTGACATAACATCAGCTAAAATTCAAAAGTTGTTTCAGATTTGGCAGTTTCAGAAATTCTACAAATTTTAAATCTAAGTATGGTCATGCTTGTGTTAAATAATAATATTTTGCAAATAATTCACACTGATTAGAAACAAGAAACTAAAATACCTCATAATATTTTACCTCTTTCCCCAGTTATGAGGGCAATTAATCAGTAATTTTTTTACTATTATATACTAAATTTAAAAATCATCTAAAGGTTTTGAATTTTGTGTTACAATCTTTTAGCTTTTAATAGTTATAAGTATGTAAAGTTTCCACACTCTCTAAAATTAATATTCTTTATTATTTTATTATGTTCATTCATTTTTCTTCTTCTTTGTGAATGAAAATGTCATTGTATTAAAAAATTTCTTCAACTACAATTAGTAACAATTAGGAGAGTGATAAATAATTTTAAAAGACTTTGGTAGTTAAACTTTAATTAGTTGGATACTTGTGATATGTAAGTTAAAGTTTGAGATAATCTAATTTTTAATTTCAAAGAGACTTAGTACAAATAGATTTTTTAAGATTCTGGTATATATACTTCTTAAATATGTGCTTCTTAATTATATTCTTATATAACATAGGCGTGTATAAAAAAAAACTTATGTGAAGGCGTGTATAAAAAAAAACTTATGTTATGTGATTAAAAAAAAACAAATCTTTTATAAATTTTTTTATGAATAGAACCAATAGAAGGGTATTAAATGCAGTATTATTTTATATATCAGGTTTATTGCTGTGAAATATATTTAAATGTATTAAATATAGCGCTAGTATAAATAAAATATATAGAAATCATATAGTATTATTTTTATCATATGAAAGAAATGTATATATAAAGTTATAAATTATTTATAAATATTCATTTTAAATAAATAAGCCCAAATTATCTTAAATTTTAAAATTGAACGCAGTTTCTTTGTTTTCACCCGTATTACTTTTACAATATTAGCATATTGAATTAACTGCTGCCTTTTTGAAAAAAAAACACAGTAAGTTAACACAGAAGAATACAGGCAAATATGCACTACTTTAAACAACTTTAAAGCACGACAAACTAGTTTATCAATCAATTTAGCAAAATGCAGGATTATACAAAAAAAAAAAAATGTCTTTATTAACTAACAGTTTTAATTGTATAAGTTTAAAAAATTCAAAAGAATGCTGAAAATTCAGACTATTATGTTAAATTCTTTGCAACAAATGCAAATTTTGTCTGCTTTTTAACATACTAATCTTTTATCTTTTAACATAACACAGAATAATACGAAATTGTTACAACTGTTTCAAATAACTTGTTAGTTTTCTATTTCTTTAGCCTGGTATAGCCAGGCATTCCTGCCGGAGCCTATAGTAATACAAGTAATAGTAATACAAACTGCTTTAATGACGATTGTCACGGAGTATAAAGTTTAAAATTTATACTTTAACAGCTGTTAACAAATATTTATCTAGTCTAGCTTTAAAAGAATTTACTGTCATTGCAGAAACCACTTTTTCAGGTAAAGCATTCCAATGAGGTATCACTCTGTTCGTAAAAATATTATGTCTCGGTGTTGTTTTTGCAAATTCTCTTTCAAATTTCATTGGATGACCTCGAAGTCTCTGGGAAGAAAGTTTATAAGACGCTTTATACCATAATATCTTTTCAATCCCAGTTGTTAATTTAAAAAATCAACAAGATCTCCTCTTATACGTTTTGTTTCCAGAGTTGTGAGGCCCAACTTAGTCAATCTTTCGGTATAACTTAGATGTTTTAGTTCAGGGGCTAGTTTTGTTGCTCGTCTTTCAATTTTTTCTAGGTCATTGATATTGTTTTTATTACTTGGACTCCACAATGGAGCTTCGAATTCCAAATGGTCTAACCAACGATGTGTATAGTTGCCTTACCATTTCAATGTTAAGATAAGTAAAGCTTTTTCTTATTAAACATAAGATTCTTTGTGCTTTACTTGTAGCTATATATATAGGGTGACCAGACGTACTCTTTTTTACAGTATTATACTCTTTTTGATGTAAAATTATTTATACTCTCTCTTTTTCTAAAAATCACATAATATACTCTTTTTTTTTAAACTACTGATTTAAGAAATTTATTTATTTGAAATAAACAATAAATAATAAATGATTTTGCCCATATCTAAGCAGTATTTTTTTTCTAAGCTGATATTTCTTTTATCATGACAAAAATGAAATATGATTCAACACGCAGCATCATAAACACATAAAAAATGTTCATCAGTTTTTATAAAACAAAAGCTAGAACCTTTTTTCTCTCTAAAGATTTAGCTGCTTATGCTGAAAACTTACAGTCATTGAGCTCGTATGGTCATACCACAACGTAAAACACGGCCATTTTTTCATAGATATAGACTGCACATCAAATTTTTTAGAAAATCCTGTAATTATAAGATTATGTGTGGAAAACGTCAGAATGTCTTGTTAACAGAATGTCTTGGTTCGATGCATCACATGCACTTTTAAAATACAAGACTTTATTTTGAAAGCTGGTTGTTAAACGAGCTTTCAAAATAAAGTCTTGTATTTTAAAAGTTCATAACCTTCCAAATGAAATTGCAGAAACAATAGCTAATATAACTTTAAAAGATAATAACTTTTACAATATTCAAGGTAATGTTGTTGGATTTTCAGCAGATAACACTGTAAACTTTGGTACTTTATCAACTAATAAAACTGCAGGTAACATCCATGCAAAGCTTGAAAAGAACTTACAGAGAGAAAATCACATGTAATTCCAATAAAAATTGAAGATATAATGCTAAAAATATATATCATCAATTTAATATATTTAAATATAAGTAAAAAAAATATGTGACTTCTGTTGTAGTAAAATTCTATACCACAATAGTTGCTTATTTGAAAAAGTGGGCTAGAAGATTTTATAATGATGCATGGATTATAAAGTAACTTAGTTAAAAAAGAAATTTTCAGATGGCAAATTTAAGAAAGCTTACATATATTTTCTTAATTAAACTAAATCATTGCCTTATTCCTATTGTTAATTATAATGAGAATTTCGAGTATTTACCCATTAATGACCATATACCCATTAATGATTTTTTCGTTCATTTAGTCAACAAATTTGACTCTTTTTGTCAGTCAGTTAGCAAATGCTTAGACAAGTAAGTCAATAAATTTAGACAGTCAGTTTGTAAATATTGTTAATGCAGTCGAAAAAATTTAAAAAATGAGGACTTATTTTTTAGTTGGCCAGAGTTGTAATGGCATTCCCCCAACCCTCCTTATGTGACACCTTGCGCTGGCCCTGATTAGAAATATACTCTTTTTATTTTAAAAAAATCTGGTCAGCCTATATATATATATATATATATATATATATATATATATATATATATATATATATATATATATATATATATATATATATATATATATATATATATATATCAGGCTTTCCCAGAAAAGGGGTGCGGTCGCACGCCTTGTTTGTCCAGTCGAATAAATTTTTCTGACTAACTGACCACGTTTTATTATTATGCGTTTCAAGAATTCGCGCCAAAGCAAAGCTAAACGAAAATACCGCAAAAATGCAAGCAATCTTTAAGTAAATAACAGAAATCTGTTTGTGCTTTAAAATTAAAAAATTAATGTATATTATTGAAAAAAAAAAATTATGTTTATTTTATATTTTTATTTTTTTAGGGTGGTAGTTATTTAAGCTATGAAAAATCAAATCAATAAGAAAAATCAAATCAAAAAGAAAAAGAATAATGTTTAAAGAAAATAAAAGGACCTTTTAATGTAAATTTTGTTTATGACTTTTATAAGTCAGTAATACTTTAAAATTCACGCTAGAGCTATAAACAATTTTTAAATGTTTCGTAAATACATTTAAATGTTTAAATGTATTGATTTTAATGTTTGAATGTATTGATGCGCAAGAAAACACGAAAACGATCGCTATTTATTAGTAAAATATGTTTGTTTTTTTTTTAATTAAAAGAAAATTTTATTGTCAAACGATTGAGTTGCTTATTTTGCAATCATTAATTGACATTGTGAACGAGTGTTAATATATAATAATGTCCCGAAGGAACTGTTTTCGTAACAATGACAACAGAAGCAATGCAATTATTTTTTTAACTTCTTTCGTAATTACAAAATTATGTATTTGAATAATTTCAATGTAACAAAAGGCGAGCATTGACTCAGTATAATCAGTTTTAAATAGGTTGAGAAAGAACTTTTTTCACATTAAAATTTTGTTATGTTTAAAATCTCAAATAATATATTTAATAATTAAAACAGCAATTTACTTTCTTGTCTAAGTATTGGGAAATAAAGTCATTGTCGTTGCATAAACCTTCGTAGAAACTAAATTAAATGAAAAAGTTTAACCAAATTTGTCTAGCGTAAATAATGAATCAGTTTTTTAATACATTGTCTGTTAAAGTTCGTGAATAAATTACGTATCAAGTCTTTTTATTTTCTTGAAAACTTTATGACTTATCGTCGTCTTTTCCTTGACTTGTATCAAATTTCGTAGCTGAAAATAGCAACCCTAATAAAAGAAAACAAAAACAGTATAAAAATTTTGAAAAAAATGTTCAAGACTTTTTTATTTTTGTTTTTTATTTTTTTTTTTTAATTTTTTTTTATTATCAAAATATTTTTCTTACATTCAATTTCAATTTTATACTTTGTTTAGACTTCATTTCATTTTTTTAATATTTATTTTTTATTTTCTGTGGATAATTTCCGCTTTCTTACGAAATAATGCCCCGGTCACGTTTTCTGAAAAATTTATTCTATGCGTGGACAAACAAGGCGTGCGACCGCACGCCTTTCCTGGGAAAGCCTGGGAAATATATATATGTATAAATTAGTAGAAAATCACTTACGTTGTATTGAGAGAAACTGAATTTCTTGACGTTTTAAAATTATATATAATATACTCTCATACAAGATGTCATCAATATATATATATATATATATATATATATATATATATATATATATATGTATATATATATATATATATATATATATATATATATATATATATATATATATATATATATATATATATTATATATATATATATATATATATATATATATATATATATATATATATATATATATATATATATATATATATATATATATATATTATTTTTAAACATCGTTTTAAAATAATATATAATATACTCTCATACAAGAAGTCATTAATATATATATATATATATATATATATATATATATATATATATATATATATATATATATATATATATATATATATATATATATATATATATATATATATATATATGTATATATATATATATATATGTATATATATATATATATACATATATATATATATATATATATATATATATATTTATATATATATATATATATATATATATATATATATATATATATATATATATATATATATATATATATATATATATATTTATATATATATACACAATCTCAAATCAAGGCGGGATTTGAGATTGTGTGTATATATATATATATATATATATATATATATATATATATATATATATATATATATATATATATATATATTTGAGATTGTGTGTATCAGGCTCGGTCGGGAAGCGGGTGCGATTGCACTCAATAACTGACCACAGAAATAATATTTAGCTGTAAAAAAC